TTTTAGATTGAACATTTAAAAATAAACGTCATTGTATGTATATTGTTTATCATAAAATATTCGATATAAAGAAAACAACTTCAGTAGTTATACGTATTATACATATTACATGTACAATATACGTTTGAATACCTATTCAATAGCGTAAATATTCTTGATTTCGTAGTGTGTTTCATTATTGTGTTTGAGTATTTATTAGTTATTACTAATGGTTAATAAAACAGTAAGACCTGAATGGACCGATTCATAGACAATGCTTAACAAGAAGTATTGGCATATTTTTAAAGCTATTATATACTTATGACTCAACACTCAAATATGATTCATAAACGATATTTTGACTAAAAAAATAAAAAGTATTACTTGTTTTTAAAGTTGGTCAAAACTTGCTTTAAGCATTACTTTTAGTTTTTATCACAATTTTTTATTTTTTAAATTATCAAAATTTGATTAAACAATACTTATTCTGCTTAAGCATCGATTATACACTAAGTATATATCTAATATCTTATCGTCATCTACGCCTTATAAATGATTTATTGAACTTTAAAAATATCTAGGTACCTGCATATTTAGTTCAATTATACTTTTTTTTAGTTTTTTCAGTCAATAAGACTAGGATATATAGGTGTACCGCGGTACACTTTAATTCAAAACCGGTGACAGTCCCGGTTTTACTATAGACGTATGATTGACTATTATGTAATAAATTCATTTCATTTAGCAGTATAAATAAACTATTTTAGTATAAACATTTCTTATTATTTATATATATATATATATATATATATATCAATGTACCTATGGAACGAACACGGTCACATTATATAGCATTTCGCTGCGTGGACAGTTTTGATCCACAACGGAGGCCTGCCGACTGCGCTTGCCCTGCAGAATAGAAATAAGTCGGAGTTGTGGTCGTAGTCCAGTAGAGCCTCGTGTGAACTTAATTTGTTTTACGTTTTTTTTTAATAAAAAGATAGTCATTTATTTTTCTGAGCGTACTTATTAATTTGTCGTGTAGACGTACATAACAATAATGACTTAGCTTTGTATAATGTATATGTCGTAGCCACTTCGTGAAATCG